TTTTCTTTCTTTCTCTTTCCTTCCTTCCTTCCTTCCTTCCTTCCTTCCTTCCTCTCTCTCTCTCTCTTTCTTTCTTTCTTCCTCTCTCTCTCTCTTTCTTTCTTTCTTTCTTTTTGCATTGCTTACCTAGATGCCACCTTCCTTTTATCTTTATTCCTTTATTCCTTTCCCTTCCTCTCCTTTCTACTTTCTGCATCATTTTGTTATTAGGGTTTTCCTCCCCGCCCTATTCCCAAACTATGGGAATTGAGGATTAAGTTCCAAATCATATATGGAAAGAAGAACTTGCAAGTGACAACCAAGCATGGGTGCAACAGCAGTTTACACAGAACCCATTGGGCCTCTACTGAATTCCTATCATCTTGATAGCTTGCACACATTGTGACATGCACAAAAGCACCTTCCTCCTCTCCTGTGACTTTGCACAAATTTTCCCAAATGCCAGACAAGCAGAGAGAAGATGAAATGTCCGAGCATCATCTTCCTGCCTACCTGCATGAAATTCGTTTTTTTTTTTTTTTTTGTTTGACCTATGGCTATCAGGTGAGTTAAAAATAAGCTGAATCAGCTGTTTTGTCCATTCAGACCAAAATCCAGTACACTCTAATTCCAAGAGCAGCCAGCCAATTTTATCTGGAGAGTTCCAAGCAGGATACAAAAGTGTCAGTTACCCTTTCTCATATCACCAAGGTGTGATAATCAGAAAGTGTACCAGTAAACGCTAGAGCCTGATTTCAATATGATGACTAGATATTAGAGAGCACTGGGAAGGGAAGGGGAGAATAAAATGGATAAGCATCAATTATTTAAATGCTACAAGCCAGCTGCTGCCCATGTCAGTTCCAAATACCACAATCAACTAGCCAAGAAATTATTTAGAGAAGCTCATAAAGCAAAAAAAAAACCAAAACCCAAGGTATTATAAGCCTGTAGCTATAAATGTGCAGCTTCATTTTTATTTTGTGTTGTGTGCTTATTTTTTCCTTTTAAAATAGCAAATTAATGCTTTCTGTGCTCCATACAATACTTTTTAAAAAATCAGTTTCTTCTTCTACATGCTTGAGGCTAAACATTAAAAGAGTATATATACAGGTAAAACATTTCCTGATTATGAAAATGCAGAGGACACAGGTCACAATGATTTCATTCCTTTTAACGTATGTACATGACATTTCTTGCTGTAGATCATTGAGCAATATGTATTCATTGAGAACATTTCCTATAAACTACAATTTCTAACGGTAACGATTTAAAAACCAAAGGCCAGAGCACTAGAAAAAAACTTTTCACAGAAAAGAGGGATGGAGAAGAAAGATAAAAAAATACCATGCCCAGCTCCTAACGTAGGAATTGAAAGAACTTCAAGTAGCAAGTGAAAATGTCTGAGAGTCATTAGAGAAGATTCGGGGAGCTCAACAGAAACTCCATGGGTTTATGGCAGTTTTCTTGGGCAAAGACTAGTCCACCAAATGTGGGCCATCCATTGACATTCTGGCAAACTATCAGAAGACAGAATGCAGTTTTGAGATTGTCCCTGGGCCAGTTTGCAGCTGTGGGCAGGAAAGGCAAAGAGGGATTATATTCCACACCCGAACAACTGGAATGGAGGCTCACTTCATAGTACCTGCCCTACCTATAATTTCCTAATTAAAGTATAAGGAAGATGTTATGAAATTCCCACATGCAATTATTGCTCCCTCATACCCAATATTCAAAGCTACACTGTTTCTGATCATGGATGCATAATTGAAACCTCTTTAAAACATCCAAAGATGTTTTGTATTGGTCACCAGGACATCTTGGGACAGTGAACTCTGTATATTTACAGGCTGTGTAAGCAAATGCTTTTCAAGACTGTATTGAACATCTTACCAATCAGTTTCACTGGAATATTTCAACTTCCATTAGTAGAAGATAATAGGCAGCCATGATTTTGGACTGGCATAAGAAAGGGAAGGGGGAGGATATTGTGGCTGGTGATTTTTTTACCCGTTTATAAACCTCCACTCATATTTATTTAATTAGTTTATTTATATGCTGGTTTTCTATAGCGAGCTGTACACAAAGAGCCTTAGAATAAACATTAACTTACCGATTAGGGAATACTTGAATTTGGGTAGAGAAGGGAAAAGGATAGTATTTTAAACCCTTAAATAAAAGAAGTGAACTAGCATATATTACAGTGTAATATCACACGAGGAACATTAAAACAGGCCCATGTAAATAAAGGTAGCTCATGCTGAGTTTGCTATATTCCTGAAGACTGCCCCAGCTTGATTCAATACAGTTCAAACGCCCTGCCTTTCTCTCTGCTGGAAAAGGATGGTAGCGCAGAAGGAAAATACAAAGAACTTGCAAAGGAGGAACAAAGATATTGAACCCTCTTTCACAGTCTTAAATGTTCTAGCTGGTCATCATTTTCATTCTAAGGAAAAAGCCCCAGTGATGTCATCTCTCCTTTTAGGGGATCTGCTCTGGCCTTCTGGTTATCTTTCTTATACTTCAAAATCTCTTTTGATGTGGGGAGGCTTTAGCAAACTTAATGGCCACTTTATTTTTCAGTCCAATGGAACTGACCTTTCCCTGCACCTTGGAACTGTAATGAAGTTATCCATCTTGGCCCCATAAATGTTTTCTTGGTTGGTCACCAACGGCTCAGCTATGTGAAGTTAGCAGGAAATGTCTCAATGTCCATCTCTTTACATTTATTTCTGTTAATTATACCTGGCATATTTTCATCCAGTGACTCAGTTCTGGAACTCTTAAGTATGCTAAGCCTGTATAATTTGCTGTCATTTGAAAACGTGATTCCCTTTAATCTTACTCCCAGATCAATTATAAACATATTTAAAGAAACAAGAATACCAGTACAGATCCTTGCAAAATCCCATCCTTCATTCTGTTTGTAAACTACACATTTATTCTTGCTCTAAATTCATTGCAAACAATTAGAGAAGCAATTGGCAACAGAGTATTAGCAGGATCAAGGACATCTATTGCACCCTAAATTCAGCCTCCCATTATGATTTTTGTAAAAAAAAATTCTTATGAGATTTCAGCGTTCTCAACTAGATGTGGCAAGATAGGCTCACACAGGCTGTCAGTGAGACCAATGAAACTTGTGCAATATTTGGGAACTTCTTGAAATTTAAGCCACTTTTTAAAAAATTGTAGAGAATGCCCAGAGCCTAAACATCTTGCCAGTCCCTTATTTCAGATTCTATTCTCTTAAATCACAACTATGATGTTTATAGAAGCCTTTAGTGAAGAACTTTGTCAAATGTATAAAATAATAAGTATTGCTTACTAGCCACATACTAGAGGACACTTTCCACAAAAATTAATGCAAGGTGATTCGCTGCAGAATAAGCCCATTACATAAGAGTACAATAGTCCAGTTTTTGAGTTAGTATCTATCATTTGAGCAACATGTTGGAAGTGAACAATAAGCAATGCAAGTTTAAAACAAAACATACCACTTTTGGTAAGACAAAATATACGACAACAGGAAAGGCCTTATACATAAATGTTCCTTATCCACAGAAATAAAACAATGAAAAGAATAATGTAAGATTTACAATAAATTATCTTTTGTTTACTCTAAGGCTAACATACTGTTTATACATCAGGTAAGAGTTCTATCTGTGCTCATTTCTCTATCAAATTTCCTTGCAATATCACAACAAAGTAGGGGAAAATTCATGGAACTGGAAAGTAATAGATCCCTCATTAGGAGCCTGGTGCTGTAATGTTACACACTGAAATAGGAATTTGGTCTCCAGTACAAACTGCATGTCTGCCATTAAAGACATCTCAAATATGCCATGCAGTCTCACTGCAATGGCTACATACTTGGAAAAGAAGCAGGGCAAAAAATGAAATTTTAGAAAAAGATAAAACTCTTAGTTTATATTTTGTAAGGA